TATATATATATATATATATATATATATATATATATATGGATGCTTGTGCTCTTGTTTTTTAATTAATCCTAGGCGGACATTATGGAGGTGGGGAATCGGGAACATGATCAGTTTGTTAAGGTAAGTCTTGAGTTGGAGAGTCTTCTTCAGCGTCACTTTCAGCATAGAGAGCACTCAAAGAGAGTCTTGAAAGACCATCTGCGTGAAGCCAAATTGGAAATTGCTCAACTTCGACAGAGTGTTTCCGCGTATTCAGAGCAGTTAAAGGAGGAGCGCTTCAGATCTGAAGCTCTTCAACGGGAAATGGAAGATCTTAAAAGACGTCAAGTTGCTGAGATCACGAAGCACGATGAATTAATTAGAGAGAGGATGTGTGATATTGATACACAAGCTCGACTAACTGTGGTTAAAACGGAAGAGTGTGAACGCCGTTTACAGTGTCTGCAGCAGCAGGAGACGGAGCTTTTGAACCGTGAAAATGATTTAAAATACCATCAGGCATCTTTTGAAGCTGGGATCATACTAGCTCAACGACAAACTGAAGCGGAAAGGCTTTGCATGCAGCATGCGCGGGAAAACGCCGAACAAGTTCTGGAAGAGGCGAGGATCTCTGCTTTAGCAACAGAAGAGAGGAGACACAAGCGTGAAATGTTGTATAATTTGGAAATGCAGTGTTTTGGACTTGAAAAGGAAGAAGCAACTCGGCGGATACATATCATACGACAAGAAATATTAGAAATCATGGGCTTGATTTCTTCGCGACAAACACATGTATCAGTTGCTGAAGCCAAGGCCGTGGAACGCATCCGGCTACTCGAACAGGAATTTGTCTCTAGAAAAGAAATATTTGAGCTGCGGGAGAAAGAGATTCATTTACGGCAACAACGTGAGCAACAACATCTAAAAGATGAGAGGGAACGAGTAGCGTCCATGAAGGAGGCCATGCAAAAGGACTATAGACTTCTTTTGGAAGGTATTCATCTATTTGGAAATGGTTGCTCTACAGAGCCTGAACGCTTACAGGTTGATGCATTGAGAGACCTTCAAAAACTCTTTGTCTCTATGTTAGATGATCATCACTTGGAACGAGATAGGAAGCTGTAAAGTATCAGGTTCATTATTATTTGTAAGTTTTTTTTGTTTTTTTATCATGTCTATCTGTTTATGTGAGTACCGAAAAATTGGCCATGTTGCTCCACTTTGTTTCTTTTCGAAGACGTTTTTGTGGTGTTGTTGGTAATGGGGTGCAATCATCGCCCCTATGCATTTACGCATCTTTTTTTTTTTTTACCATTTTTTAAATACATTTCTTTATTATTATTATCTTACTGAAGGAAGATAGTGGTATCGTCCTTTTTTTTTTGGCCAGATGGCGTACCGACGGAAATCTTCCCCTGCTGCGCAGTTGAGTCTCTTTCGCCAATTACAGTTGATGTGTAATGCCACTTCTTTGGGACTGCCCTTTCAAGTCCATAATGCGCAGTCAATGTTAGACCAGTTGAAAATAAATAATACCGCGACGTATGCTCAGTTTACGAAGAATGCGACGCGTCAAGATTTTTTTCCCAGTAGAGTGGTTGGTGGTTCTAGTGACAGCGCTCTTATCACAGATGCTCCAACATTTACCCTACCCCTTCCAAGGTATTTTGTTAATCCTTCAGAAACAGCTGAGGATTTTGTGCCCCGTGTATTTTATCACAGTTCTATGGTAAAGTGTGCAGCTAAGCTCCGTGATGGAATTTACCTTCCACGTTGTGGCTTGACGGGGCTGTTTTTTTCTCGAGAGGAGGTCGTCGATAACCTTCAAACGGCAGCTGCAGAACTTGGATTTAAGTCGCCGTTTTGGATTCGAAAGGATCACCCAGCGCTTGGCAACTTTCTTGAGCTTAAAGACGAAAGCGATGTCATATGTCTAAGTCTTACAGCGGCCATCACAAGTATAGATAATGTGGAGTGCTTTCATGAGGATCTTTGGCATCCTAATCTTCGGCAGGCAGCTGGCTCAAGAGGGCCTGCGTTTGGAAGCGACGTTCCGCTTGGGATGAACGCCTTTTCGGGGTTTGTTACAAAAAACCCTTTTGTGCAAAGCTTGCCTAATCGTGGTGTGTGGATATCCCAGGAGCAGGTTCTTCAAAACAATTTAAAGCTCAAGAAGAAGGCGTCTGCTTCATCAGGCAATCCATTTCTCCTTATCGAAGTGGAGCAATGGGAGATGCACAATGCGGACCAACTGAGTGTCCCTGGAAGATTAGCTTTACACCGTTCTGCGGCCAAAGGTTCTGAAGGTGTTTCCGTTTTCTCATGACAGACATAGAATCGTCATAGAATATAAGGACAGTTGGATCAGGCAAGTCAATTTGGAAAAAAAAAAGGTACACTGACTCCTCACACATGATAGTTTTTTGTTGTTTCTTTTTTCATGGTATTGTGTATTATCTGCTTTGACGTTTTTTTTTTTTTTGCTTATAGTGTGGCGTTACGGTACATAAAGTCCTTAAAAATTTTATTTTTGATTCACTGTAAACGCTTGCAATAATCATATCATAGACCAATTGTTATAGTGATAGCGTCAGCAACAAGTTTAATCTGGAAGGACCCACATCTGAGGATGGTGAACACCGTTATGGCAGCTGTTCTGGGGTATGGAGCGAGTTGTGTCTCTACCTTCGTTCTGTATCCCTACCGGGACTACACAAAAATCTTTCGTGTGAATCCGTTTACTCGTCTGGATCCAATTCAATACGCGCTGGTGCGGTACAAGGGGATGATTTTAAATCCATCACAACCTTTAATTCTGGCGTTGCCCTGGGGCCTTCTCTATGGTGGGTTTGCTTTTGGATCGGGTGGCGTGACAGGGGCGCTCGTCGCTGGAACTTTTCATGGCATGAGCAAGGTAACTGTTCGAACCATTGCTCGTCGTGTTGGGGGTCCGCGTAGCAGATACGATGCAATGGTCTATAAATCTTTCTTTCACTGCCTGCGGGAGAGCACCATGCAGTATGGAATATTTTCGTTTTTTTCCGGGGTATCCGCTACTATCCTTATTTCAACTGTGTGGCACGGCGCCTCTCTGGTTGCACTGCAGCGTTCGAGGCATGATGGTTTTTTTTGAGGCATGGTGGGACGCGTTTCGTGTCCATGCCTTTCTAACCTTTGCTACAAATCCCATACGCAATACGTTTCGATCGGCTTTGCACAGCACAGAACGTGCTGGTGGCGTGCGCAACGTATCGGTTTTTTTTGCAGGGGAAGCTGCTGTTTTTAGGGAAGCTGGAGGTGTAATGAGGAATATGTTGCGAACCATGGGCCTACCTTTTTTCCTCGAGGGCGTTCTTCGAACCACATTCAAGTCGTCTGTCCCATTTGGGTTTACTTTTGCATTGTTCTTGGCATTTGGAGGATCTCTGCCAGGTCAGGGAGGAAGAGGTGGTGAAGGGCACCGACAATACCATCACCATCATACGCCGCTTCGTCGCTTTGCTTGAGTCGTTTCTAAAATGTAGACCTTTTTTTACGTGCATTTATTATTATTTTTGGTGTTCCCTTTCGTCACTGTGGTGCCCATGCTGGCACTCCCTTTTGTCAACATTCTTGCAATGCGACTTTGCCTGGCGTGTTACTGTCAATTTTATTTATTTCATTTGCTATTGGCTCCTTGAAAAAAAAAAAAAATGTTGGTAATAGTAATAATTTATTTATTTATTTATTTATTTATTTATTTATTTTTGGTGTTGCTGTCGTTGTTATATTTTATTGCAGTCTTGTCAGTAGGATATCATCATGTTGCGTCGCTCGCTTATTTGCAAACAGGTGCTAAATAAGGGGCCAGCCCGGCCCGGCCCGATGCTGTACGGCTGGGGGCGCACGGAGCAAAAGCGGCGTCTGGAGTATGAATCAGTGGAGTCCAAGTACCACAAGCGTGAGTTCAACAAGAACTGGGATCTTGCCGGTGTGGAGCAGCGTTACACCGATTTTATGGTGGTGCGTACCTACTTCTCTCTTGGGACACGCTGGGGGACGTGGTTGTACAACATGCTTCAATTTTACGTCCTTTCGATGCTTCCCGTGTTCGCCTTTATGCACATCCTTCATAAGAATGTGGAGTGGTATGACGAGCGTATTCGCCTTGCCGCCTGGTGGTAGTGCAGCAAATGATTAGGAATTGCATGAGAAATTAGCAGTGGCAAGTTTGTGTAGTGGATGGGTTTTTTTTATTATTATGAAAGATTCATGTTGTAGGGAAACAAAGCAAAGACACCCAGTGGTGTTATTTTTTCTTGTGCTTTTGATGTGTCCTGCTGACATGCGGTCCTGCGTTTGCTCACTGTTTACTGCCGCTTTTGTTTCTGCATGCTCTTCTTTTTCTTTTCCTATGGGGCTATTTTATTATCGTTGTTGTGTTTTTTTTTTTGGTTTGGGCTTAGCTTTGTTTGGTGGGCAAGCTTCACGTGGATGGGACTGCTGTCAATAATCCGCAAGACAAAGCGAAAGGAGCGCGAGATGCGTATCCTTATGCTGGGCCTGGACAACGCCGGGAAAACGACGTGCATCAAGAAATTTTGTGGAAAGGACACAAGCTCTATTAGCCCTACACTTGGGTTCCAGATTACCGCCTTCTCCCTGCATGGCTGTACGCTAAACATATGGGATGTTGGGGGTCAGCAGTCGTTGCGGAGTTACTGGAGAAATTATTTTGAGAGCACCGATGGCTTGATCTGGGTGGTGGACAGCAACGACGTGGCACGACTGGAGGACTGCAGGAAGGAGCTTCATGCCCTCCTTCAAGAGGAGCGGTTGGCGGGGGCAAGCCTGCTGGTGTTTTTGAACAAGCAGGACTTACCTGCATCACTCACTCCAGAAGAAATAGCGCGACAGTTAGACATTGACACCATTAAAAAAGGGAGGCGACACGTGCATTTGTGCACATGCAGTGCAAAGACGGGCGACGGGCTACTGGAAGGAATGGAATGGATTGTGCAAGACGTCTCTAACAGGATGTACTTTGCGAGCTGACTTGTCTGTCAAGGGTCGCTACTTGTGTTGTGGTTGTAATGTTGGTAATTGCGTCAATGCGATGCCCTGCTCTCCGTCGCTTTTTTCCTTCTACTCACTCACACTTTTTTTTTGTCAATTCCTTTTTATGGAGAAAAACTTTTGCGATTCATCATTGGAACGATCATCCCTTATTATCAGTGGGATGGGTTCTCTGTGTCGACAGTATTTTGTTTTTGTTTTTGTTTTTCTTAGATGAATAGCACTTGTTTGTTTTTGCCAATGCTGCGGATTTAGGGCCAATGAGCTGGTGGTGAGTGTTGTTGGTAGTCATTGTCGCCTGCATCACTGTGGCGCTGGTGGCGTGCCTTTGCTTCCTCTGCCTCAAAGACGATGATACGAAGGATGGGTTGTGGCTCAGGATTCTCATTGCCTTATTTTTTTTATGGGCATGCTTTAACATCCTTGTGCTGCCGTACGATGTAGCAAACGTCCGCGGCAGCGTGTACAACCCCGGCGGGGAGATCAACTTCACCATTATGTGGATCGTCATTTTTGTTTCGATATTTTTTCCTGACCTTGCGAATCCATTGAGCCCGACCAAGCAAGTACTTGGCAACAGATGACATCAGCCGTCATAGTAACTACGATCATTGTGGGGATATTTCTTGTGCTATTTTTTACTTTATGGGCGATGGTGGGATACGCCAGCATTGCGTATGCCTACTACGACGTGGTGACTCCGTCAGCCAAAAGCTGTGAGAACGTTCTATTTTTTAGCTACACCTCGCACACGGCAACGCTGCGTTTCAAGGCGCCACTATTTGTTTATTTTGTCGCTCTCATCTGCACCATCGGGTTTAATATATATATATATATATATATATTTGGCGGTGTGGGACTGGCGGCGATGCTGGTTGTTTGCATCCTGCTGTTCCGCGACTGTCCAAAGCCTATCGCCACCGCCGAGTGCGCGCTTTGCCTGGCCGAGATGGCTCAGGAGTCGCAGCGCTTCATGGGTGACGGAAGTCAACTCGAGCAGGAATAAAACGCGGGGTGCCCTAGCAGAATACACCGACAGAAGGTACTGCATTCAAGATGCGCGTGGCGGGGTTGCAAGCGTACCACGGCAAGATTGAGACCTTTTACCACGAGAAAGGCGGTGACGTTGTTAGCGTCTACCGTTTTATCTTCTTGGGTACCCCGTTTGCCTCTAGTTTTGTTATGTTGGTCCTGCAGGTGATCATTTACAACTTGGCACATGTTTGCCTGCTACTAAGCAACATGTTTTTTTCCCTTTTTGTATGGACAAAGTGGTTGTGTCATTTGGGGCTGTGACGCACGGCTGCTTCTTGTGTTATCTCCTTTCCTGCGTTGTGAAGGGGTGCATCAAGATTGGCGGCAATCTTTTGCTGTTTCACGTCTACCCCATGTTGCCTGGAAGCATGCTCATGAACGCCTTCCTTTTTAACGCGATGCTGATTATGGTCACCTCCACGCCTTTTGTGGAGTTTTGCATCATCTGTTTTGCCGACTACGCCGTTAACACGAACGTCTGTGCGATGTTTACGTTTTATATGACAAACATGCAGGGTCTCAAGTATATTGTGATGCACTGGCAATACCCGTTGCTTGTGATTGCGAGCGTGTCTTTTGTGTGGCTCCTCCTGTGTCTTAGGCGGCGCGTTGACGGTGAGTAGCAACAACAACAAAGGGCCACTCTCGATAATGGAGGGGAAATTATAGTGCGTGAGCGAAGCAATAGTCAAGGAAGAGGGAGTGCGGATTTTTTTTTTTTTTTATTGGGATGTCTGTGAAAATGCGACTCAAGTGAAGCCACAAGATGCATGCAATGACAATTTTTTTATTTTGTTTTTTTTTTGTCGTTGATGCGCTGGGGGTGTACGACGCGGACGTTCCACCATACGGAAGGAGAACGACGAGACAATCGTAAGAAAAGGGAACATTTAAGGAAGGCAAAAGGTAAAAAGGGTTTGACATGAACTTTCTGCACCATGTTCAGGGGATTTCTATTCTCAACGATGTAGGGGGCCGTGTGTTCGCCAAGTACTACGTCGATTCGGAGATGCAAGCCGCTGGTGTGCTGAATACAAAGGAGAAGCAGCGGGAGTTGGAATTGACGATTCACACTGCAGCTCAAGATTCTAAGCGACGTGGCAGCATCTCTATGGATGGTGACATCATGATTCATGGAGGTCATACTATCTTGCTGCAGGTGTGTGACGACATCACATTTATTGTAATCGGCGATGACAATGAGAATGAGTTAGTGCTTCATAGCGTGCTGCGCGCTCTTGTGGACGCGTTGTGCCAAGAACTGAAGGTGTTGGATCTCAATCTAAGGTTACTCTTGGATAAATACGATGCGGTTGTGTTAACCGTGGATGAGCTGGTGGACGAGGGCATTATACTTGAGACAAATTCAAACAACATTTTCCAAGATGTTGCTCCGTTCGTTGCAGAATCCGGAAAAGAGGTGGCCCGCAAGGCGCTGGACAAAGTGAACAAGTACTTCAAGGAGAATCTGTAGGGATGAACCGAAGGAAGAAGGGGAGAGACGACACTTTTTGCTGCTTGCAGGCACGAATGGGCAATATATACCCCGTCGCTCTATTTTTTGTTTTGTTTTGGTTTTTCCCTCTATCTCTTTATATATATATATATCCGAGCAATGCATCTGTTTTTTTTTCTTTCATTTTGTACTCCCCTTCTCCTTTCCACTGCCTTACCCAGGTCTACCACGAGAGTAAGGAAAAAAAAAAAGGATGATGCGACCCACAGCACCACGCTATATGGCCCAGGGTATCTGGGCGGGGTTTCGGTACTACTTTGGACACTTCTTCTACCCCAACATGTACCGGGAGTTCCTTTCCGTTCAGAACGCCCACAAAGTAGAGCGTGCGCTGCGTATTCAAAGCGCTATCAAGGCGAACAAGGTTGACTATCGTGCCCTGTTGGCGTTGCCGGTGACAGATCACGCCCATCCATACAAAATGGAGTATCCGTGGGAGAAGGTGATACACACGGACTACCGGGACCTTAGTATGTACGGGAAATGGTATGCCAGTAAGATTATGTGCTTCTACGAAGGTTTACAATACCACAAATACGGTTGTTTGCAGGATGACCTCATTAATGCGCACGGTTGGTGGAACCGCGCCGCTCGCACTCGTGCTCCGCAGGATAAAGTTATACACGGCGACCGTCGTGTTATGCGGGCTCGCGTTCTGCGCGACAAGTACATTTATGAGCCAAAGAGTCGCTGGGTACACCCCATCGACAACGTTGCATACTTTGGTCCTTATGTAATGATGGTGTGCGACGAGTGGGAGGAGAAGTGGGGCTTCTTTGCCGGTCAGGAAGTGGAGTACTAATTTTTAGGTAGGCTAAGTAGGGAAAGGAACGGGAATCATCGTTGATTAGAAGAGTTTGCCTTCTCGTTTCAATCTTGAGGGATTCGTGTTTTTTTAGGAGGTCTGCCAGGGAACTGGGTTGACACGCGAGCAGTAGCAAATGATAGTATAGAATAAATGCTTGTATTGTTGGAGTTTCCGGTTGCATGCTTTATATATATATTTTGTCTTGGATGTTCCTCCGTTTGCCGTTAGCGTCATGCTCTGCCTTTCTCTCTTCGACCTCACTTTGTGCGTGCCAGCCGCAGCAGGGGAAAAGACAAAGGGAACAGGCGAGACGGGAATGCTGGATGGTGCCAGCAGTAGCCGCAATACCGCGTTTCTAGCCTCCGAGGGTCACTACGCATCGGCGCAGGAAGCCGACGAGGCAAGGCGACGCCAGATGGAAGAAGAGCGACGAAGGCGTCAGCAGGAACTTCATGTGCAGCAGGAGATTGAGTGGAAGTCATTTCAGGACGCGAGGGAACGCTGCCGCAAGGATGCTCATTTGTCTGCGATGATGGACAAGATTCAGTTCAGAGGGGCCCTTCACAGTAATTACAGCAGGTTGTGCAAGGCACATGAGGAAGAGATGCAAGCGTACTTGACGAGGATTGAGGCCGAACAAGCGCGTCGATCTGTGAGGTTGGCCCCAACTTACAGGGAGACACAGGCGAACGCAAGCCGTTTGACGGGCACAGGCCTCTACGCCGAGCCGGCTCAACTTAAAGCGATGACTTTATGCTTGGAGGGGGATGTGCATAACGCCACAGCGGAAAACAACCGACAACTTGTGGGGTGGAAGCTTCGGGAAAAGCAGAAGGAGCTTGAGACGCGGAGTCTCGCATCGTATCGGAATGTATTTGACGCGCAGCTCCTGGGGCAGCGGCGCTCAGGTGAAAAAAGGCGCGCCGTGGAGGCAAACTTGCAACACAAGGCATCTGAAATGGCAGTATCGCATTACAACGAGCGACGAGCCTTGTACCTGCCACTGCTAAGCACCCGCAACTCTAGCAAGACTCAGCAGCTTAGGGTGTCTCGCGGAACTCAACTCATGCAGAGGGTCAACGGAGACCATTACTATGTTCCTTCACTTTGTAACTTGTATGGTAGTCTGCTTGAGCAAGGGTAAATGCATCATGCATGGACCCCATGTGACGATATGTAAAGTTTGTGAGTCATTTGGTTGTGCTTTGCCATGCTTGCGTTTGCTGATGTGGTAGCCGTGGGTGTGGGTGGAGGCAGGAAGATAAAGTGGCCACATGGCTTTCGTTTGAGGCAACTTACGTGATGTGTAGACGTGACGGGCACTTTTGACCTCTTTATATACTATCATTAATGATATATATATATATATGTGGGTGCCTTCGCACATTGTGATGTCTGCTGTTCAGCATCTCTTGTTTTTTTTTTTCGTTTTATGTGTCTTTATAGCTGTGAGGATAGACTGCCGCATGCGTGGCCTGGGGACAAATCTTCACGCGCCGTTGGTGCACTTTCCGCCTGTAGAAGATAATGCGACTTTTGTCTTGCGCAGTGAATTTCCCGAGAATGGTGCGAATTTCTCTAGAGAGCCTCGTGTCACGTCGGAAATTGATGCTGAAGCTGCCACCCGCAGTTCACAGCTACTTGAGTATGCGGGTCCCGTCGTACTGCCCCTTTCGAACAAACTCGATTCCATAGCGAGGCACGTTAATTTTCTCAAGAAATGGTATCTACTGATACACGTTACCTACATATTATTCCTTGTATGCATTGGGTCTTTGCTATTTTACGCCTTAGAGGCTGATCTGCAGTACGTCGACGCCTTCTTCGTCGCCATGTCTTCTGTGTGTTGTTGTGGGCTGCAGACGGTTGATGTTTCAAGATGGAAGCAGGACACGAATATTCTGCGACACCTCCTTATGATTGGAGGAGGGGTTGTGTTTACAAGTGCCCACCAGCCACTGCTGCGCATATGGATGCTGAATAGGATGTGGCCTGTGCTTAAGCCATGCCCTGAGGATAATTTCCAAGAGGGGCGATTGCGAGCTTCACGGCGCAAGTACGCGCAGCGGCTTTGGCACACCTCCGTCATTTGCCTTCTAACACCGCTACTGTATTTTGTTCTCGTAAACAGTGCCCTGATGTTTTTTCTTGCGGTATTTAATCAGTTAAATTTGGGATTTGTGAAAATTTTTGAGATTGCAATGGCTTCCTTTCACGGCTCCATATTTATCTCTATGGAAAACTACGTCAGGGACCCCGCTGTGGTGCTGTTTGTAACGATAGGATCTGGACTGGGATTCACACTGTTTCCGGTGGCATTGCGTGGCTTTTTCTACTTGGAATGGTTTGCATTTCGCCTTATGCGGCGTGTGTGCAAGGGCCGCCAATTGTCGCGACCAGGCGATGAGCAAAGTCTGACTGTGCCTTTATTACATGGGGATTTTTATCCTCTCTTTGCGGCGCGGGAACACCAGTATGTGGGGAATCTCTTGTCTTACAGTGATGTGGCCGATGATGTGGTTCATACTAGTTCATGGGAGAAGGGGTTTCGTGACATATTGACAAGTGACCAGCCTGTCTCATTTCATGCCTTTTTATTTGTGCTCAGCGAGACGGTTTATCTCGGGGTGGCGTGGTGCTTCATCACCGTAGTTCAGGCCATTCCCTTCTGGGTTCAGCAATGGGACGGTAACGGGCTACTTGCCCCCTTCTCTACAGCGTATAAAATATTTCTCTCTCTCTGTCAGGCTGCCGTGGTGCGGTTTGCCGCCGCCTCATTTGTTTCATGCTTGGAGTATAGCAACGCACATATTGCCATCACGATTATTTGCATGTTTTTGCCGGCCCTTCCCATTCCCACGGACCGTACGTACAGGAAATGGAAACAGGTGTTTCGCACCTCCATGGTGCGTCTTCTCACCTCACGCCTTTTTGGCCTCTTTGTAGCCATACTCTGTCTTCTCTTTGGGGAGGAGGAATGGCTTGCGGAGAAGTTGGTGGGATCGCGTTTTGATGCCATGACACGATCGCTATTTGAGGTTGTTAGCGCCTTCGCGGGTTGTGGCTTGTCTTTGTCCCTGCCAGGGTCAGCGGTGTCCTTTGTGGGCTCTCTCGGCGTGTTTAGTAAGTTGGTCGTCGCTGCTGTGATACTTGGTGGCCGCCACCGCACCGTCGACTTGGGTATTGATTTGGGCTTTGCTGTGCTTGAGGCAGATCAACGTGTACAGTGCGGTGTGGGCTGAGGTGCGGCTCAGTTCCCTCCTGGGGTCCGCAACCCCATCCTGGACTGCATTCTTGGGCGGAAACTGACCTGATTTCACAAGCGAACGCCGTGCTCGCTCGTGACTACTCTCCTTCTTAGGAAGTTAGTTTCTAACTTTTTTTATGTGGCAGTATACATATATATGTATCCCTGTCGATCTTGATTACTCTTCCTCTTTCTTTCTTTCTTTACTTTCTCTCTCTCTCTCTGATTTCTTGCTTTTAAAGTCGCTTTTACGGAAATGTATGTAGGGCTGCACCCCATGCATTCTCCCTATCCCTGTATTCTTTTTTTTTTCCTCTTCTCCTCTCTTCCAGCGGACTGAGCACGCTACGTAAGGAAAACAAGAGTGTCAACACAGACATAACACTACAAATAAGTGATAAGTAACTCATTATTTCGTACATATAATGCCAAAGGCACCACCCGGACCCGACTTCTCTCGCGTTGCAGCGGAAATACGTAAGCGCTTGGGTAGTTTTGGCGATGTCACCGGTCTCTTTGCCCTTGTTGGTTTCACCGGCCTTGTCGGGACGGGGCTTTACAAGTCTATCTACTTTGTGGATGGTGGCTGCCGTGCGGTGAAGTTTAACGCCATTACAGGGCTGGGTGACACGACATACGGCGAGGGGGCGAACCTTGCTATTCCGTTCCTCGAGACGCCAGTGGTGTTCGATATCCGCAACAAACCCACGGAGGTGATGACGGCAACCGGAAGCCGCGACCTCCAGACAGTGAATTTGGCTGTGCGTGTGCTCTACCAGCCGAGCGTGAACAACCTGTCACATGTCTACCGCAATCTGGGTATGGAGTACGCGGAGATCGTCTTGCCGTCGCTCGTCAATGAGATTATCCGTGCGGTGATAGCACAGTTTAACGCTTCCGATCTTCTGGTGAAACGTCCTGAAGTGAGTCACCGGATTGCTGTCATGCTGGCGGAGCGTGCCAAGCGATTTCACATCGACATCACAGACGTCTCTATAACTCAGATGAGCTTCGGGAAAGAGTACACCAGCGCCGTGGAGGCCAAACAGGTGGCGCAGCAGATGGCGGAGCGTGCCAAGTGGCGTGTGGAGCAGGCTGAACAAGAAAAGAAGGGCGCCATTCTGTTGGCGGAGGGTGAGGCAGAGGCGGCGAAACTCATTGGTGACGCCGTGCAGAAAAATCCCGCCTTTATCACGTTGCGCAGCCTGGAGGCGTCACGGGCAATCGCCAAAATGGTGAAGGAGCGTGGGGCTGGCGCGTTCTACCTGGAGAGCGCTGGATTGATGCTTAACGCCAACGCAAAGGACGGTGGGGGCATTCGTGCTGGGCATCTGTAGTAAGGAGGGAGGAATGGAAAAGGGTTGTTAGCAACTTGTTTTTGACAGAACACAAACTTTGCCTCATCCGCTGGTTTTCTTCGGGGTGCCGGGGCGTCCATTAGGAAGAGGAAATGAGTGGCCTTCTGTGAGGCTCGTTTTCGCCTTGCCTCTTTCTCTGATCTTTGGCTAACGCCATATGTATCATCATTCTACTTTTTATTACTTTTTTTTTTTTATCAACCACTTTCCTTTATTGAGTAGGGGTGGGAGGTTGGTATTTATTCCGGTTACGGGCCAATGAAGCCGCGGGATCTATGGGAACTTATGACCGACATTGTCACCCAGTGCCTTCAGGACTCTCTCACAGACTCACCCGAGCTAATGCTTGACGACGCCTTAGAGAACTGCCCGTCCCTTTCTGAGGAAGAGGAGGCGCTGGTTCGTGAAGCAGTCATGGGTACCCTGCACTTTGAAAAGGTCTCGGAGGGCATGGTAAGAGGCTACCGTGATTGCATGCGTCACATCGTGACCAATAGGTGTTCCATGTATCTCGTGGCATATATGATGATTTTCCAGTACACCGTGCTGGGTGGCCATCGCATACGTGAACTTTTCTATCGCTGCACAACCACACCGCGTCTCGTTGAGTATCTAGAGTACATGCTGGACCCAGAGAGTCTCATGGAATACTCCAATCCATACTGGAGTCATCACTATGATATGAATTTTATCACGAATAGTATCTTCCGGCCTTTACTAGAAATTACTCCCCGCGTGCGCGAGGACGTTATTGAGTGGCTCCTGAACAAAACGGCTGCTCGGGTCGTGCGAGTCGATGAGTCGGAGGATGTAAAGTACCCAACCACCCGAACCGTGGCGACGCAACCACCGCGGGTGACGAGTGCCCCTGAAGAGCATCCGGGCAAACTCCCACCCGAGGAGGTGCGAGCGATGTTGTACACCATTCCCGAGAAGCGACCTCCACGTATAGACTACAGAAAGCCACCACAAAACGTCGCCAGGTACAGACGCAGCCCGACTGAGCCAATTGGTTTTAGTTTCCTAAATCGACAACCGCGGCAGAATAAGGTGATCGAAGAACCACCCGTGTGCCACGCCGAGCCTCCCCACTCGTCTCGGGAAGAGCTGCGGCAGATGCTTGCGAAACCTGTTACCGTGCGTATGACAGCCGCTGCCGTTCGAAGAGAGGCGCAGACGTACTTGAAACAAATGGAGGAGCAGAAGAGGTCTCTTGAGGAGATGGAGGAGGCTCTGCATAACTCCCGGGACTTTGAGGAGTGGCAACGCCAAGAAAAGACACGCGAGGCTCAACGGCTCAAGGTTCAGTTTTTGAATCGCAAGGCCCAAATTGAGGGTGTCAGTGACAACGTTTTGCAAAGGCGAAGAAGAGTGGAGGAGATGAATCGCGTTGTGTCCTCCCAGGTGCGGGCGGATCTTGTCTTGCAGTTGGGTTCCTTGGCCGTAGCGAAGGAGCACAAGGCCGCTAAGCAACACAAACAAGCTTCTAAACTTCGTCGGGAGTTGGAAGAAAGTCGAAGGAGGGCTATCGAGCAGGCCCAGCGAGACCGCCTCTCTGCTGCCGCGGATATCAAGGCAGAGACCAAGCAACTGCGGGAAGATGCACTCGAAGAGGAGGAGCGAGTGAGAACGCAACGTCTCATCCTCATCCAAGAGATTCGCCAGCTTCGGGAGCGCAATCGTCAAAGACGGGCGGAAATGCATGAGAAAAACATTCGTCTTCAGGACGAAAGTCCTGAAGATTCTGCGTATGGTGGAATGTGTGTTACTGCATTGCGGGAAAAGCTTCGCCAGGCAAAGGAGGAGAGTGATCGGTTGGAAGAGGAGAGACGGATGCGATTTGCTGCTGCGCGACAGCAGGAACGTGAAAAAATAGAAGCTCTCCGTGCCGTGTGCGCCAACTGGCGCCAAAACACGCGCCGCGCAAGGGAGGAAGATCTGAAGAGCAAAGAGCAGGAGGCAGCGAAGCTGAAGGCGAGGAAGAGCGAGGAGGAGGCGCAGCGAGCTCTTCAGATGTGCGATGCTTTGAAGCAAAAGCGCAAGGACCGACGGAGGGAGTTTACCGCCCTCAGGGCTGAGGAACGTAGACGCAATAACGAGCTGTTGCTCCTCGCCAAGGGCGCCTCATACATTGAGGAGAAACACTGGTCGCAGCAGGAACTCGGTGTTATCAACCGTCTTACGGTCGCCCAGAATAAGGAGTTACGCTCGGGCTTTCGGCAGCCACTGTCCTGAAACTACCGTCATTTAACTGCAGCAGAGAGACCATCCTTTGTAGTTCATGTAAAGAGTGTATTGCCCGCCATGTTTTTTTTTTTTTTCCGACTCCTTTCTATTGTTAGGACCCAGTGAGGGCCAAATACACTTTGGTACTTCCTGGCTGCATGTACTGCAGCAGCGCTTTTTTTTTTTGTTTGTCTGTTCCTTTTCTGTCTGGTTGCTGAGTACGCTGTGTGCGTATGTGGGGAGAAGTGGCTTGAGAATAAAATTAGGGGAGACTAGGCGGGGCGCTATCCATGACATGTCGCGAGCAAGCAATCTGCCTCGTGAACCAACATCAACAAGTAAAAATTCACACGTAGCTGGACGTTCATCTGTATACCCGTATAAGGTGCAGCGCTTTGTTACGGCACAGACTCCAGTGAAGGGTGCAACGAGAAACAAACGGGAAGTTGCGGATGCGTCTCAGAGGATCCCCGCACGTGCACCCTTCTCAGCTTCTACGAAAGCCACGCAGGAGTCTTTCCCGCGCAAGAAGGTGGAGGAGATCGCAACGTGGTTAAACAGCGACACAAACTTTGCTGAGATTGAGCTGCTTGCGGCAAGGGCCCGCGAGTTACGTCTTCGCAAGGAGTCCTTATGGGATGCCTCCGATGCGGTATCGTCCGTGTCGTCAGTGTCGTCCGTGTCGTCAGGAACAGCTTTTGCGAAGCGGCGTAAAAGCCTACCGAGAGCGCCAAACTCATTATTGCGACTTCCTCCGTTTGATGAGAAGGCGTATGCAGGGCACATCTCTGCTAGAGGCGCACGAGAGGAGCTAGAGAGAACTTCTTCTGGAGTTTGTTTCTCACTGCAAGAGCCGTGCTGCGGTGACGCGGCGACGCAACCCGCAAATGGGCGAAGCAACGGCGTAGCTACCACAATGGAGAAAATGGTTTCTCTAGAACAGCTTGCCTACAGAAAAACTGCTTTGCTGCAGGAGAAGGGGAAAAAGAAGGAGGGCTCCCCCTCGCCCACCGTTGTTGAGGTCAGTGAGGAAATTCCGCAAGACAATTGCAATGTGCAGTCCTCGTCGCCTTGTCTAGCTTCTATGGTACGGGCCGGTGCCTCAGTGTCTACAGGCACGAGAGCGGAGTGTTCGCTTGGTGTTGCAGCGGTTTCACTCCGAAACGTTTCACCACCGCGAGCTGGGGCAGGAGGTAGCCATTCATCATGCAAAACAGACTCTTACAATGTGGTTCAGGTACCGCGGGCACACTACATCTTGTCAGAGGTGAATTTTTCCTATTGGTAGCGTCTTTGTTTGTTTGTTTACGGTAGCGACGAAAAGTTATCAAGACGTTTTGGACAGTTGGCAGACTATTGCCTTTTTCATATGTCATGACGATGAGTTCTGATACTTCAGCTCCTAAAATTTTTTAGTTGTCTTGTTTTCTCTTGTTTTTTTTTTTTTGTATGTGTGTGTTGTTGTTGTTGCTCCTCGTCTGATGATTTTATTGCCTTCGATAGTTGCGATCACAACTAGTACCTACGCGTCTGCGATTTTTTTTTTTTATCAAGCAAAAATTCAAGATGCTGCGGCGTTTCGGAGCTACGCACGTCGTACCTTCTATTCTGCCTCTCACCTCTTCTGTTGCAGCTGCTCGATGCGAGCATACGGTGGGCGTTGCTTCCTTGCAGGAGAATGATGTTTCACAAGGGCCTGTGCAGATGAATTACCTTCAAGCCATTAATTCCGCGCTTGACCAAGCACTTACCAGAGACGAGAAAACGGTTTTATTTGGAGAAGATGTCGCCTTTGGGGGTGTGTTTAGGTGTTCCCTCAACTTGGCCAAGAAACACGGTCCAATGCGAGTCTTTGATGCCCCACTGTCTGAGCAAGGCATCGTAGGATTCGCCATTGGAATGGCCTCTGTTGGGTGGAAGCCCATCGCGGAGGTGCAGTTTGCTGATTACATATTTCCAGCTTTCGACCAAATTGTGACGGAGGCGGCAAAAATGCGGTTTCGCTCTGGAGGTCAGTTCCATTGTGGGGGTGTCGTCATCCGGGCACCGAGCTCTGCGGTTGGGCATGGGGGGACGTATCATTCGCAGAGCGTGGAGGGTTTTTTTAACCACTGCGCGGGCCTAAAGATTGTCATGCCCTCCACCCCATTCGATGCAAAGGGGTTGCTGCTACAGTGTGTTGAAGAGGAGGACCCGTGCATCTTCTTTGAACCCAAACGCCTCTACCGTACCATGGTGGAAGCGGTGGACCCCGGCTATTATACGATTCCTCTCAGTAAGGGAAGAATTCTAACCGAGGGAAGCAACGTAACTGTTGTGACGTATGGCGCACAGGTTGGCGTGGCAATGAAAGCCGCTGAGCTCGCAGCCCAGGACGGTATCTCAGTGGAACTTATCGATCTCCGCACCGTGAAACCGTGGGACCGTGAAATGGTCGTGGAATCTGTACGAAAAACAGGTCATCTTATTGTGACTCACGAAGCTTCCAAGACGGGAGGGGTCGGGGCTGAGATAATTTCTTGTATAACAGAGGACTGCTTTCTGTCCTTGGAGGCCCCACCCATGCGTGTTTGCGCACTTGATACGCCCCATCCCTTGCATGAGCGACTGTATTTACCAAATGAATTGAAGGTTTACGAGGCAATTAAATTGGCCACTGGATACTAGCTGTCACTGGGGTTTGCTATGTTTATTCTTACCTTATCTGTATTTTTAGTCAGGGATCTTTTTTTTTTTTGGATGGTTTCTTGTTTGCTTCTGTGATGGAGAGAGTGGGTGGAGTGCAGGATGGGTGACGGTGTTGCCTCCAAAATTTCCATTTTCCCGGTTTGTGAGTGGGGAAGGTGGTGTTCGCCGGGGAATGGTGTGAAAATCGTTGGAGGGAGGATTATGACGAAATTAGAAGGGTGGAAACTAAGTCTGTCTTTCCATGGGCCAGTGTCGATGCTCTGTGAATAAGCGTGACGTTTATGGCACTCTCCCTCCTTTCCCGCCCTGATAAGCTTCCGAGTTAGGGATGCTGAGAAAGGGGGTGGAGCAGAAGAACAAGTAGTATGACATTTTCGCACTAAAAACTTACACTGGCTGGTGGTGGGTGTGGACTTTTGGGAAGAAGGGGAGCATCTTTCTTCCTGCGTTCAGTCTGAAAAGTGAAATGTAGGGCAATCCGATACGCCTGTGTCTGCTGTATGCCGCGCTCATTATTATCGTAAGGAGGGTCAGCGAGAGAGAGAGAGAGAGAAAGCCCAACAGAAGTTTCATGACCGAGGATTGCCAGCTTTGTGTTTTTTTGTGTACAAGGTGGAGGTGAAGAAGGAGGACGTGTCTTGGGGGCGGGGGTGAGGTGGGTGCTTGACCCTTTTTGGTTCCACTACAGGACAGGCTTTACTGCGGAAGACACAAGTGTAACGCAGCTGCTCGCATTTGTTGAGTGTTGGCTAGGTGTAGGCTTGGAATGACCCCCACGACTTCCGCAGCACCAAGGAAGCAGAGGTGTGGGTGAAAGGATGCAGTAGAGGACGGAAGTATTGAGAAGTGGGATATTGGGGCCCTCATAATAATGTGACCAAAAAACATCTTGGCCAGTGGTCTACGGTCACATTGAGGACAATTGTCTGACGGCGCTTTTGGGCCAGATGCAAGTGGAAACGCTGAACAATGGAATTATATGGAAATGTTTGCCTTTTTCATGTCAACTTGCTGGGCGTCGCCTGCGCAAGTGTTGACAGACTTCGGCTTGTGGAGTGGACAACGGCACTTAGGACACATGGACGTGGGAAAATTTTTGGCCTACATATTCCGTGTACTTCACAACACTGGCCATGGATATCGCTACGCCACGGCCGCTGCTTCTTTGGTTACTGCGGCTGCCGCTAATGGAGGTCTTTTTGCTTGCAGCTGAATGGGCACAGATTAGAAGGCGCTTTTTTTTTTTAGCGTCCACACCACGTTGGCCGCTAGCAACATGGGGAAAGTTGGGAACACGCGAAGTCGAGACCGGGGTATTTTTTTCTATCTTTTGTGTGTGTGTGTCTGCGTGATTACTATAAAAACACATCATTTTCTTCTGTGGGAGCTCGCCATGCACCATTGAAGCCGGTTCCTGCAAGAATTTCGCATAATTTCGCCGAGTGGTAAGGGAGGGCTTGTGCGTGGACACCACAACTGAAGAAAGCAAAGGGACGAGCCACGATGCTCCGTGAGGGTTAAGGCGGGTTAAGGCGTGACTGCCACAGGTGTGCTTTTGTGATGTCGCTCGGTTTGCACATTGAGGCGTTGTCTGGGGGACAAATATTACGCGGATAATGACGCTGCTGATGTGCCTTTACTTGAGATGTTGCACTCGCTCCAAAAGTTCCTTCTCCAACTCACTTTCCTTTTGTTCTTCCCACACGCTCAGAAGGAAAGAGGTTAAACGCTACGTGCTGCTGTGCGCTTTGAAACGCTCTGCAGTCACCACCAGCAACACACACACACACACACACAATCGTCGCGGCCTGAAAACAATCCCTACAAGGAGTGAAGGGAGACAGTGAGTGAGTGAGTGAGCGGCGACACATGCTCAACATGTCCTGGCACATGTTTTTGTATTCGCTGCTGCTGCTGCTGCTGTTTCTGCTGTTGACATGCTGTGGCAGTCAAGCTGCGGGGAGTGCCCCAGGGACGAGCATTAATTTGTTTACAGGAACGACACCGATAACTGGTGCAAAGTGGGAGGAAGTGCAATGCGTCGAAGGGTCAGTTCGCTCGCTTCGTGCCCCTAGCCTTGTGGAGGTGGACGGTGCTGTGTTTGCCGTTGCTGAGGCCCAGTGCAAGAATGGAAGCGTCAGCTTCACTGGGATTGTGTCACAGCACCTGAAGGGAATTGGAACAGAACCGACTGAGATTC